TCTGAGAGTCGACCCGAAAAGCGTCACGTAATCTTTCACTAAAAGAAGATGACTCGCGGAGTCCATGTTCGAGAACTGCTCCTCCAAAACGGCAGTCACTTTAGCGACAGCTGTCTCCCACATGGTTTCGAGCTCGGTCGGAGACAGGAGCCCGCCAGCTGTCCTCAGGACACGATCCTCGACGATGAAATACCCCGCGATGTGGGCCAAGAACGTCTGGTGGGACTCGAGAAAAGGCTGTGCCGAAGAGATCTGCAAATCGGACTTCAGCTGCAAGAACCGGTTATTATAGTAATAATCGCGAAACTCGTCCGGTATCCCCAGGCAGTCGTGAATGTGGTAAGCACGGTAAAGGGGAGTGAGATCGAATTTCAAAACCGAGCTCTCGTCGATTTCCTCAACATCGAGCGTGTAGCTCAAATCCTCGAGGCCCAAACAGCTCTGCTCTTCAGCTTTCCTTTGACGGGCCAGCATGTCTTCCTCTCGCTGGCGAGCAGCCGAGGCGTAACCGATTGCAGTTTGGCCGATATCCTTAGCGTCGCTCCTTATGTGAACTAACCACTCGTTCACCTCACTGCAAACCTTTTTCTTGATGTGGGATTTTAAAGCAGGTATCTGTTTTTCGATAAGAATCTTTAAAGCCCGGACAGGAATATTATTCTGAAGGTAATTTTTCTCGATTAGATCGACAGCTTTGAGGGCCGGGTAAAACCGGCCTTCCGAGACGTGCCCATTACACTTCACGCACAAATCGAGGATCTGAATGCAGTTTTTCGACATCTTAATGGCCTCGGTTATGTTGTTCTTGATCGAGTAGGATTCGAGAAGCTCCTCGAGTTTGGAGAGTAGAGAGGTACCGACTTGCTGTAAACGGAAATTATCGCTCGAAAGCTCGGATTTGAGCTCTTCGGCATCGACCAGCACGCCGCGTAGCTCGTCGACTGCGATTATGAATTCCTCGTAGTGAAGCTTGCAGAGCTCCTCGATCTCAACTTCTTTTTTCTTGACGAGGCCTTTGAGCTGGTGGAGGAGGGATTCGGGCCGGCCTGTTTCGAAGGCGAAACGGACCATAGGCCCAAGGTCCTCGCCATTGCTGACCATAGTGGCTAGGACAGAGTCTTCGCCAGTGTCACCATTATCGGCCACGGTTTTCTTCTTGGTTTTCAAGCTCATTTTGGTGTTTTTTTCGAAGTTCTCACAGTATGGAGACAATCTATGGATTTGATACTGTAAACAATCACATGGAGATTCTTGAAATTAACATACAGCTTAAAAATGGAAAGCATAACATGGAAGTTGATAATAAAGGGAGGAATTTGTAGCTATAATTCTACAATTGCTTCTTCTACAATTGCTTCTTTGCTGAAAGTTGATAATAAACCAGAACAATGGAAATAGCATGAAAACAACATCAATAGCACCAAATTATTGGTATTCATAGAAACTCACTTTTGTGATCTGTTCCTTTTTCCCCCAAATTATTGAAAATTTTTAAATCCAACGAAGATGAAAAAACACAAGGAGGAAAAAAACAATGGAACATCCATTTCCAGAATAATGTAGCCTAATAATGTAAAGAGCAAACAGAACATATATCTGAACATGAATCCTTTGACTTTGTCACTCCGCTGGGTACTGACAATTTCTATTACCTACACACAATGGAACATCCATTTCCAGAACAATTAGTTAACCCCATTTGCAGTATGTTCAACTGTCTCTCCAAAACCTTACAAATTGCAGAACTCGGGAAAAATTAATCCACAATTTCGACAAGCGCTTGTGTTTTGACACATTCTTCATAGTATTGCCCTGAGCATGTTTGTAACAACTACATTAAAACAACCAGAAACGAACACAAAATAACTCGAGGCACGATTCCTTTATCACGCATGTCAATGTTCTAAGATTTGGCGGGTAACTAATCCTGGGACTTTATACCTCAAAAGAGAATGTAAAGCCACTAAATCAAATCCAACAAACACAGATCTCAGCTGAAAACAAGACGAACAAACAGAGATTCGTAAACTTCCAGATCTCACAATTCAGATGAACAAAAACCATTTTTAATCGCGAAATCAAATAACAGGATTGAATGATAAAAGTCGTAAGCAAGAGCACGGCGAGATTCAACCATCTGCCAATCCAATTGCTAACTAAAATCCAGTGCACAAACAAAAATATACACACCGATCGAATCGAAAAACATAAAAACTGAAAAATACAAGATAAAATAAGCTGGAGGCCATTAGATGCTTACCTTAATCTTCTATAGCTGAGAGCACGCAAATTCAGTCGATTAGGGGTTCTCCAACTTGCAGACCGATCGATTGTTGATCAAAAGAATGTGAATATTTGTTGTATTTTTCTATTTATTTATAAATAGAATACTAAAACGCGAACACATGTCCTTATCTTTACATTTTACTTTATAATAAATATATACTCCCTCATATTTTTATTATTTGTCGTTTTGAGAAGTAACACACTAATTAAGAATTTTTTTCTTGTCAATATTAAACCCTATTTAATAGATGTTATAGAAACTATGAAGATGGGATATGAACATACATTGTGCATTGATGGAGGGTTAAAAATAAAAAAATATGAACAAGATAGTCAAAACGACATTTATTTAATCAATGATCCATTAAGCCAAAATGACAAATAATAAAAATAGGAGGGAGTATTATTTTTTTATTTATTTTTTATTTCAAATAAATTGATATATATGTATATTTAATTTTATATAAAATGTTAATTACTTAAATAAACTTGTTTGAGTGCGTTAAATTTTTATTCATATGGTATCATTTAATATTAAAAAATTACAAAATAAAACTACAATAAACCAATAAATAAAAAGTACAGAATTATTTAGCATAAAAAATACATTGCACAAATTATTTAGCATAAAAAATACATTTACTAATACACATTATACAAAAAATTACCAATAATAATACACACAAAAAAAAAAATAAAAAAAAATTGTAGAGTCGAGCTACAGTGTTGCGCCACATTTGGCGCAACACTGTTCCCGACTCTCTTCTCGCGCATAAATCTAGCGCTCCTTTAAAACATAATTCCTCTCTGCTCCAGCGTAAAACGCCAGATGTGGCACAGCGCTGGAGCCGCTCTTACTAGTCGCCACGTATGAAGAGATGACCAAATATTCAATTGGTTTGGGTAATACATAATTCTATTATGAATAAATAACTAATTATTCAAAAAACCATAATTGATATAATTTTTTTTTTTTTGTTTGGATTTTTTGATTTAGTTTGGTTAATTTTTAAAAAGGTAGTATGGTTAGTTGTTAGTGGGTATATTAAAATAATATTTAGAATAAAATAATTAAAGTTGATTTGAGGTAAAAAAATAAGAGAAATAAGTTGAAGTGATGTTTAGTTAAAATTATGTGAGAAGATGAATAGTGAATTAAAGATGATGTGTTGTGTAAGAATGATTAATTGATATTATTTAATTATAATAAAATATTAATGATAGTGTTGAGTTAAAGTTGAGTTAAAAAAATAGTTGAGTTAAAAAGAAGATGAATAGTGAATTAAAGATGATGTGTTGTGTAAGAATGATTAATTGATATTATTTAATTATAGTAAAATATTAATGATAGTGAGGTTAAGTTAAAGTTGAGTTAAAAAAATAGTTGAGTTAAAAATGATTAGAGTTTTTTGAGTTTGTTTCATGCTCTAGCTAATTATTTTAGAAAATTATTCGGCAGAGAAAATTATTCAAATTCTACAAAAAAAAATCTTAAATTATCTAATAATCATTAGCTGTCATATTACTTTATTCATTACAATCTGATATTTGTATAATCAACAATCTCGTACTACTATTTTAGCAGTTTAATAGAGTTATTAAAGTCGATAATATTTTATAAAAAGTCTTCTAAGTTTTAAAATAATATTAAAAACTATTTAGTAGCTTGTTCATTGTTTTGTATTTATTTTTTAAATTTCAAATAAAAATATAAACATTTTTTTTTTCGATTCATTGTTGTATCCTATTTTAAATATTCATTATCAAAGCGCAGTACAAATAACACATGTATTTATCTTTTAATCATGGTAATCTATAATTAAGTAACAACATTCAAATTTAACAACATTCAAATTGAAGTATCCACCAGTCTCACAAAAAAATCTCAAAAATCTAGCATACATGTCAACCTCCCATATAGTATAAGTGCATAACAGGATGGGAAATGACAAATCAAAATCAAAACTATTGAATGAAAAAAATAAAACAGAACAGCTCTTTGACTGTAATAAAACTTATTCCCCAGTTATGGAGTTACAAAATTTGACAACAACCTTTCAAAATCATTTTCTTCTCAGAGACCGACCGCCTTTCAGCCCGACTCCTGTACCCGTGAGGCCTGCTGTCAACATGGACTTGGTATCGGGCCTCCATTTCAATTCTTTGAGATGGGAAAATAAGAGGGCCATTTCAGGTGTTATTTCACTGTCCCTAACATTGTTACACGAGATAACTTTAAGCCTACGGAGATCCTTCCAAGAAAGAACTACTAATTCTAATCCTTCTGTTGTTAACAACGAGCATCCTTCGAGCGAAAGAGACTTTATACTCCTACAAAACAAAATACAAAAAATATAAAAAGAAATCGTCAATTTCTAGAATTTCAGACAATTGTTTCATTTTATTCCCGAGCTGAGGTCTGAGCTGTTAGATCAACACACATCCACACGTATGTGTGTGATCTAAAAGCTTAGACTCCGGTCCCAGCACTGCCCACATTCCACTTAGTAGAGGAGATATGATTTTATCAATGCCAAACACTTTTCATTCAGTAATTATACAAAATTTGATATTTCCATTTGTGACAAAGGTATGGTGCAATTATAGAACCAACAATGTGGAGCCATATTTAATGAATCGGCATAACAAAAGCTCGTGAATTGATTAATTGCTAATATTGTACAAAAAAAAGCACATGAAGCAAGATATGCGGTAGCTGATGAGAGTACAAAATTTAACTAAACATCAAGATTTTTCAATACTTATCCTGTAAAGAACAGTGAATATTCCAAATGACACAAAGCTCTGTGGACATAAGATATGTTAAGAAAAAAGTTGCCAAAATTGACTACATAATCGTACTTTGATTTCCACAAGAATGCTTGAAGATATAGAATTCTACATTTTCTCAATGGTGCAAACTCATAATCAATAACAAAACCAAATAACTGTCGATCGCATCAAGTATTGGAAATTCCAACTCGCAAACCTTTGCATTAAAAGAAATCATATAACTTTATGACGACAAAAAAACAACCAAAGCTCAATGTCCCATGGGTATAAAGCACACAGAATTTAGAATCATAACTTCATACCTAAAAATGGTTGCAGAGGAAAATACACTATCATCCAGACCCCAACAGTCCTCAATAACGAGCTCCCCAATAATCCGGCAAGCCAAAAACAACCCCCAAATGCCCCTTTTGTCCCGCATTTGACACCGACTCAAATGCAACTGCTCAAGCATCGGGCAAAACCCTATATGCTCATCCGGGCCCGGGCTCTCGTCAATACACCTGCAAGACTGTATCCTTAAAGTTTTCAAATTCCCACAATACGACAAGGCCGATAACCACCCACCCTCCATTCTGTGATCGCTAAGTGTCAGCTCCTCAAGCATCAAGCAACACAGTCCAATTGCCTTAATCCCGTCATAACTCCCCTCACAACCCACCAACTCGAGCTTCACTAACCGCTTACACCCCTGAGCCAAGATTGTCAACCCAATATCCGTAACTGTTGAATCGTATACCCCGTTTAATCTCCCGATCAATTTCAGTATCTGCAAATTGTGGCACTTATGAATCCCTTTCAAAGCAAAATCACCACAGTAATGCAATTCCAAGTCCTGCAACAGCTCACACTCCTCGGCCAAACAACTCAGACCTTCTCCTGTGGAGTTCATCAAGATTGCCCGTCTCAAATTTCGAACCCCCATGGACAATATCCTCAATCCTCTATCAACAGCCGAGCAATCCAAAATATCCCGTTTCCAGATGAAAAACCCATCGCTATCCAGCACGGAGGAATTCAAGTAAACCCCTAATAACTTATTGCTCAGCAAAATCCCTGAATTCCTCTCGGATTTGATACAGGCCGGCACAATATCAATGTCGACCAGATTAGGGAACCGGAAAGTCAACCTTCCCGACTCCAAAAACTCCCAGTCGAACAACTTCAGCGATCGGACCAATTTTCCGCAGAGCAAACACCACCTCTTGCAAACCAAGGAATTGGAAACGTGCTGCTTCGCGTCCGAGATTTTCCCAAACACTCTCAGCAGCAGTTCATCAGACAACAAAGAGATGTAATCAGGAGCGGCGGGGAGCGGGTTATGGATGGACGAGTCGGACTCCGGTTCGGACTCCGAGTAGGGAGTGGTCGACCCGGAGTTGGAAATTGAATGGTGGCGCATTTTGAGCACGACACGCTTCGACGTCTCGTTAGGGTCGGCGCCGCCGCTGAAAACGGGTTCGGACCAGCTCCGGCGCCGCTCTTTCGTCGTCTTTCTCGGGTTTAAGGCTGGGGGTTTTTCAGGGTAAGAAGACATGTTTGGGAATTAGGGTTAGGGTTTCGGGGCCTCGGAATGGTTAAGAGGTTCGCCGGCGGCCTTAATTTCCATTTTTCCTTCACGTGCAGCTAAAGTCAGGTGAAATTCAGCATCTCAGACGACGTCGTTTTATCCGTACCTCGAATGCGTGTGTATGAAGTTGAAGAAAGGTGCTGAGATTATTGCTGAAAAATCAATCCGGTTTTTGTCTCATGTGTTTGTGTAATTGTCTGCAAGTGGGAATTAGGGGTTAGGGAACATAAAATTTGGGTTTTTAATTAGGCTAAATTGTAAATTAAAAAAAAAAATAGTTTTTAGTGGGTAAATTGTAAATTAAAAATGTTTCCAATCGATTAAAATACGTGATCAATTTGGGTTGCAAATTGATCAAGCGAGGCTAAAAAACATTCAAGTCGACGTTCGACTCGAGCTTGCGTTTGCCTGATCTCGAGCATTTTGGATTTAAACCCGAGCTTGAGCTCAAATTTGTAGTATGTTGTATGTACATTCGAGCGCTCGACTAATTGGTCAAATATATGATAATTTAAAATACCCTTTATTAGACATTTTTTAATTAAATATTTGAGTTGAACTCAAGGACAGTCCAGGCCGATCACATTTGAGCCGATCTTGAGTGTTCGTTATTTGTTGTTGAGTCGAGTCGAGTCGAGCATCGAGCAAAACAGGCTCATTGAGCTCGAGCAGAAAAAAAATGTGTCAAAATAGACGACGAAGATGGTTCAATATGTTCAATGATCGACTTTTTTCAGTTCGTTTGCAGTCGTATGATTAAGATACTCATTTGTGTTTGGCTACATGTGAAAAGATAAAGAACGACATGTGAAAAAATAGAAATGAAAGAAAAATACACATTGCCTTATAAAAAAAATTAAATTCCTGAAAACATGCTTTTATTTGTAAAATTTAGAGAATTTTGAGATTTTTTAATTAAGAGTGAATGTGAGTACATATTTATGCATCACATCGACAAAATATTATGATTCGAACGAAACAGAAAAATAATGAAATTTTCAAAGTTATAGAATTGTGCAATAAAAATGTCATCCACAAATCTAATTTAGTTTATAGTACTTATTTTTTTTCTAATTTATGACATGCATATCATCTATCTATAAGTAAGATAAAATAAGTTTGACACATTAGCATTTGTGCACAGGGGCGAAACTACATGGAAAGTCGGAGAGACGCCGGTCCTTCCAAAAAAAAAAAAATTCGAACTGGAAGGGCGCCCTTTGAGCGCCTTTCCGATGCCGGAGTGGGGGTGGTGCGCCGTGGGATGGCCGGAAGGGCGCCACCGGAAATCAGGAATCCGAAAACACAGAGCAGTTGAGCAGGGAGGCATGGAGTCATGGAGGGAAAGCTGGATCGGAGAAAATTTGTGTTTGTGTTTGATTTTATCGTGAAATTGTTTTTTAAAGGCAAATTGTGCCCTCCCCGAAACGAGATCTTGGTTTCGCCACTGTTTGTGCATTGATTTGCAAAAATCGATAGCTCGTGTCTTTTTTTTTTTTTTTT